TCCGTCCTCTGGTCTGACAGTGAGGAGGTTTGCAGTGCATCCTGGGATCACACCGTCCGTGTGTGGGATGTGGAGACTGGAGGACTGAAGACAACATTGGTGAGACGCGCTGCAAAAGACACGACGATGATGATGATGATGATGATGATGATGATGATGCAGAAATGACGCCAGGCTCTCGGCTGTTCCATTTGACAAACTGACATTTCTGTCCTTCCCACAGACGGGCAGTAAAGTGTTTAACTGCATTTCCTACTCCCCCCTTTGTCGACGACTGGCCTCGGGGAGCGCTGACAGACACATCAGACTGTGGGACCCCCGCACTAAAGGTGCCACTGTGCTCACAACGCCACAGAAATTATAAAAATATAAAGATATAAAACAAAACATGTTTAAGCAGCTTTGCTAAAAATGTCTCCTTTCTTGTCCAGACGGATCATTGGTGCTGCTGTCTCTCACCTCCCATACTGGCTGGGTCACCGCTGTGAAGTGGGCGCCCACACATGAGCACCAGCTGGTCTCAGGCTCCCTCGACAACCTTGTCAAACTGTGGGACACCAGAAGGTTTGTGTTGCTCATACACATCAAGACCATTTTCAATGAGCATAAGCTTGAATCATTATCAGCACAGTTACTGAATGAAAGGTTGCTTATGCAGAGATGTGGAGCAGGACATCCTGTTCACTCCGCACATAAAGAGCTGTCTGCCAGTGTCTGGAACAAGCTTCCTGTCTTTGTCAGAATAAAATCTGGCTCTCTCTTGTGCAATAATCTTCTTGGTCAGAGGAATGCAGTGAAAATATTTAACACCCCATTGTTGCCGTGTTGTCTTCCAGCTGTAAGGCGCCTCTGTACGATCTGGCAGCCCATGAGGACAAAGTGTTTTGTGTGGACTGGACAGAAAGTGGGGTAAGACACACCAGTAGTTCTCTTCAGAGATTCCACTGCCTCGTTTCACACTTCACATAAAACTGATGATTTCTCTTTTCTGTTTTTTAGCTGATGTTGAGTGGAGGAGCAGATAACAAGCTGTACACCTACAAATACGCAGCCTGTCAGACAGATGCGGGGGCGTAGACGAGGACTGCAGAGCCATCACCACTGATGTACAGAATGGACAGACATGCACACATTCACAACCAGCGTGGCAGAACTTTGTATTGTACAAACATTGTTGGCTTTGTTCTTTACTGTCTTGGTTGTTTTTACCCCATTCAGTTTTTACACATATTTTGTTGTAGGGTTTCTTTGTTTCCCTGTAACTCAAGAAAAGTATAAATTCATGTCTCCTCCTCAAATGTTGTCACCTAATGTCAAACTAATTCTTGGTGATATTTTGATGGTGCCTCTCAGTATCATAAGCAAGTGCAAAGTAATTTGACAATGCAAAAACTGAAAGTTGCCATTGAAGGTGTTATATGCACTTTATTAGGAACTCCTGTACATCTGCTCATTCATGTGAGTATCATCGGCATGTGACAGCAGTGCAATGTGGAAAATTCAGCAGATCCACATGAGGAGCTTCAGCTAATGTTCACATTAAACAGAATGGACAAAGCAGACAAACATGGTGCTGATTTCATGATATCCAGCATCATTCATGCTCCATGCCACAAAGCCAAAGGTTTTCACTTCCCAGCACGAGTGCAGAGTGATGCGTTTGTGTCAAAGGAACGTTTTCAACATCATGAGGCTGTTTCGGAGGCAAAGGGACGCTCCAGTCATTATCATTGTTTTCTTAATAAAGTGTCCAGTGAGTGTAATCATTTGTTTTGCTCGAGGTAGAATAATTTAAATTAAATCATGAGTTTGGTAAAAGTTTGCATTGTGCATTTTTAAAACAAAGATGGCGTTATGCCAGGTAGATCAAATATATAAATGGTTTCATGCAGTTTGACCGAAGTTAACTTCACTTAAACACAAGTTGGAGGGAGTTTCAACTTGAAAATTAAAAACTTAGTCACTAAGTGTTGCACGCATCTCCACCCGAGACGATCTTTGTCGCGACCCGCACAACAGCGCCCCCGCGTGTCCAGACGGCGCCACAGCCACTTAGCATATCCTGTTCCAGTGAGTCAGAGGATGAAGGTGTCTGTCGGATAGACGATCTTCAGCGAGCGGCGCCTGAACTACACACAAGGTACAGATCAGATGGAGATTTGAGTTTAATACTAAACCTGAAGAATCGAGATAAACCGTCTGCGTGGTGTTTACGTTGAGGAGGACGGCAGGTTAGCTAGTTCGGCTACGACACCGACAGCTAACGGCTAACCTGCTGCTAGCAAACAAGCTGCTCTACGTTTCCCAGCAGAGTTTCTGCTCCTGAACAACCTTCCTCGTCTTTGTCTCATTTCACAGAGAAGACACGCTTTGTCCTTTCTGTCAGTCTGTGTGTGTTGTAGTGTGAGGGGACACCTGCTCCACTGACAGCTGTCCTCAGTCCCCCTGTCTCCAGGTGTACATGTCAGGTCCCAGCAACCATGTTAGATTAGCCCTTTCTTTAGCCCGTAGCTACGTGGTCCAGTTAACCCGAGATAACAGGTTGTAGCTCGGTTATAACAGCTGTCAGCTCAGAGCTCACTGGTGGTCATGGTTTATTTTGGTCTCTGTAAAGAAATGGTGTTTTATTTATTGATAGTTTAAATCACTCTAATTTAAATCCATTGGTTGCAAACCATGATGTAACACTGGTGCATTTCAGCATCGAAATATCTGAGATGAAACTAATCAAAGAGACACGAGGCTTAGATGAACTTATCCATACATTTATATGCCTCCCAACAAAACCATTAGATGTGTGTCAACCGAGTTCTGAGTAAAACTAAGAATGATTCAGGTCAAACAATTCATTCTCATGTCTTTACATTTACAGTTAGTTACATGATTGATTTCAAAAGCTTACGTTTTATCTACAATACTCTAAATCGTCAAGGCCCTGACTTTATTTCTGAAATGTTAGATGCATAAAGGCCTGGCAGGTTTATCATGTGGTGCCTAGAGTTAGAATTAAACAGTGAAATTGCATTTAGCCACGACTGCGTTCTCCTGGAACCAGCTCCTGATGGATATCACACCTGCCCCAGTTTGAACCGCTCTGTTTCCCAGTGCCTTCAATTAATCATCCAGTCCTGCACGTTAACTGAATTATCTCTTTTATAATTTGTCTTTTATAACAATCTATACTTGTTTACCTTTTTTAAATGTTTTATACTTGTAATGTTAACCTTTATGCCTGAATAGCTCTCCTTTTTTTTTCAGAACAGAAAAGGACAAATATCCAAGGATGGACGGGTATGTGTTAATTCCAAATTTAACAGCAGTGGTACAGCTATGATATGAAACAACTGTTACAAGCAGAACTACACGGCCACGTAGAAACACGGCTGCCGGCTCATCAGCTGATCTGTGTTCCAGGTTTGCAGGGGACATGCTGAGCGGTGGCCGGGCTCTCCTGGGCGAGGACAGCTCGGTGATGGCGCGCATGCAGAAGAAGTTCTGGAAGACCAAGCAGGTCCTCATCAAAGCCACGGGCAAGAAGGAGGACGAGTATGTGGTGGCGTCCGACGCTGACCTGGACGCCAAGCTCGAGGTAGGACAGGAAGAGTTTTAGGGCCTTCATGATTCATGATGATTCAGCAGGTATTGCGTCCACACAACTGTGTTTCCACGATATCTTTTAAGGCCCATTTACGCTCAATGTAAGATATGTATACAGAAACAGATGGAGCCTCCTGGCCGTTCATTTACTTCCATATGTGTGCAAGTGTTCTGAAAGTGTACGGAGACAGACAAGACAGACACAATGAAGCAGTAACAGTGTAGCCCATAGTTCGAGAGACATGAAGAAGACATTTTATTTATAAGAGCTACATTATCACAACCTCCTCCACCATGTTTGTTATTATCAGAAACACTTGGCCTTGGAAAACGTTTTGGAAAGTAGCCCACGTAGCTCCACAGCTTGTAGCTCAGAATGCCTTCAGTGTGTTGTCACAAGGTGCCCATTGTTTGCAGAGCTGTTTTCTTACCAGTGTAATTAGACGTGAGATGTCTCTCGCCACAGGACAGCTGTGAGAATGTGTGTCCCTCCGCCTCTTGAGTCATACAACAAAATATAGTGGACAGTTTGGATTGGTAGACACCTGGCTGGCATTTAGCTGTGGCAGGCTGTTTGGTCCAGTGTGACGGGGACGGGATAATGTTTCACTGAGATGTACTGAGAGGCTTTTGTTTGCTGTGGAACAAGATCAGGCCTCTTACGTCCTCCTGCTCTCACTGTCCCTTGATTGCATGTCCCTGTGAGACAGAAACAAGGGGACAGCTTTGACAGATGAATAGAAAATAAAAAAGGAGATCTGTCTTGTTTTTTTTTTTTCCTTTCCTCTGTTTCCTTCACAGACGTCATCTTGACCTCAAGCTTTGTGACCCAGCCGAGCACTAAAATCACCAGAACAAATTCGATTTGGAGCCGTTTCTGGACGGCAGCTTCACAGCCGACCTGGTTTTAATCTGGCTTTTACCACAGCTTTGCCTCAGCGCTTTTTCACATTTCATATCAGCAGCTTTTACTTTGCAACCTGTGGGCTTCTTGAATGAAACATCAGATCTGATTTAGTCAATATTTGTTTTACAAATTCAAACATAACTGCATTACATATTTTTATATCCTTCGTTTTGACCCGTGTCTTTTTCTTTAGATGATGATGACACAAGGAACATCACAGCGAGAGACAAAAGTAAAAGTAGTGATGGGCACCTATGTATGTAGTGACCGCCATATTGCTGTAACACAGACAGAGCCGTTGCCATTAGATACAGGTGAGCCTGATGAATCGACGAGCATCGCTGATTAACATTAAGGAGGGTGTGCTGTGTGGGAGCGGTAACAGTCAGAGATGTGAGGTGTTTAGCCTCTGCTGAAGCACACAGGCTGAAGTAGGTAGTGTTGATACAAGAGTTAATCAGTAACACGACGTCGTCTCTTTCCTCTGCTCTCGTACAGGGTACACTGGTTTTCACTTAATAACAAAGTCTGAGGCCGAATGTTTAGGACCATCTCCATGCCTAAAGAAACATGTGACATTAGTTAGTGACATTCTGAGAATACAAACTACATCTGTTTTGAGATAAGGTCTCAAGACAATCCTCTCTTAGAAACTTATGTGTGTGATTCTGATTCTGTTTGACTCCGCAGTTCTTCCGTTCGGTTCAGTCCACGTGCACAGAGCTGCTGAAGGTGATCGAGAAGTACCAGCACAGGATCACACGTGAGTGACACAACTGATCATGAATGGTTATTGATGATAATAATCATCTTTAGAAATCTGGACTCTGTTTCCTATGAACAATCCTTTTTATACTTGGAAGTACACTTGGTTTCTGGTGATGTATAAAATCCTTGACATTTCCCTGTACAACAGGCTTGTCTCAGGAGGAGAACGAGCTCGGCCTGTTCTTGCGCTTCCAGGCCGAACATGATCGCACCAAGGCGGGCAACATGATGGATGTCACCAGCAAGGCCCTGTGCACCTCCGCCAAGCAGAGGTCAGCAGCAGCACAAATCAATGAAGTGATTATGTGCTGAACAAATGAATTTGCAAGCCACTACAAATAATCTTAAACTTTCAAGGACTCAACCTTTTTTTTCCTTTTTCAAAGGATGGCACTTTGCCCACCGCTGCAACGTTTGTACCAGGAAGTGGAGACATTCCGGCGACGCGCCATCGCAGACACACTGCTGACAGTCACTCGTATGGAGAAATCCCGCACAGAGTATAGAGGAGCTCTGCTCTGGATGAAAGACATATCCCAAGAACTGGACCCAGACACCTACAAACAGCTGGAAAAGTTCCGTAAGGTTGGTTGGAGACTACTCCAACTGAAGACTGGATGTGTAATCACTGTCAGTGATGTTTTATCTTGTAATTGTCTTTCTGTTGTCAGGTCCAAGCCCAGGTCAGAGGGTCGAAGAGCCAGTTTGAGAAGCTGAAGAATGATGTGTGTCAGAAGGTGGACATGCTGGGAGCGAGTCGCTGCAACATGCTTTCCCACTCCCTCTGTACCTACCAGGTCAGTTCATTAAGTAACAGTTAAAACACGTTGTGTGGGCCAAGCATGTCGATGTGTTTACCTGCTGGTTGTCTGTGATCCTGCTGTCATGACAGACCACTCTGCTGCATTTCTGGGAGAAGACAGCTCAAGCCATGTCTGGAATCCACGAGGCCTTTCAAGGACACGTACCATACCAGTTCACCACACTCAAGGTACATCAAACTAATGAGGATGCTCTCAGATCTTGAAGTTGAAGCTATTTCTTAAATACACGTCTTTAAATTACATTTACCAGCTTGTGTTCGTCCAACAGGACCTGCGGGATCCACTGGAGCAGCTAACAGAGTTAGAGAAACAGATGGATACAAGGGAGAAGACTGTGAAGAGCAACACAGACAGGTGAGAACACAATTAACTGACAGCAGTTACTTATGTAATAGTTCAGCAGATCAAAACGTGGGCCTCTCAGCTCAGCGTCGAAGAGAGGTCACTGTATCTCTAAGTATAGAAAGCTTGATGAGATGAGGCACCTTTTCATTTTTTGTCCTCTCTCATTCCCCAGTCTGGTATCCTTGGATGACGACAAGCCATTAGGAAGTGCCTCTGACATAGGTATGTACTGCCCTCCAAACACATTTTTCTCCATGGTAAGAGAGCGGGTGAACATTTAATAAAAAACCGTATTGGAATGAGTGTTTGGTGTTTTTCTGTAGCTAGTTCTTGTGTCAATAGTTTGAATGTGTACATTGCGATTCCTGTTGCTGACTTAGGATCAGATACCTGTTGGTTTTAAGAAACTTTGATCTCAGTGCACCGAAATGCCTCCACACCCACTTCAGGTGTGCATGATCTCAGCGGAATGCCAGCGCCCCCTGATGACGCCCTGATGCTCATGGCCTGTGATCTAACACTACCACAGCTCTCGACCCCAACAAGTGTCCCACTCCAGCCCCAGCTCCTGCCTCCTCCTCAGGCTGGAGACCAGAATGAACTCTGGGGCTTTGGAAGCCTCTCGCAGCTGCCGGCCTCCGGTAAACCAGCTGCCTGTCTACCGCTTCCTCCGCCTGTGAATTCTAACTTCGAGCTGCCTCACTGGTTCTCCTCTTCTCCTTTGACTTGGCTTGGTTGGAGTTTAACTGTCCTGCTCTTGATGTCTTAATTCAGAGGCTTCTTCTTCCTTTCACTTTTGCCATTCAGAAAGAACACACATCTCCTCTCACTATGTTGGGGAGCGACCATTTATCCAGTCTGCTTTGACAAAGCTTTATTCCACATAAATGTCCCTTCACTGTTTTCTTTTCAAGGTCAAACTTTACCTTCTCATCTGCGTCTGTTGCTGTGTAACAAATTGACATGTTCGGCCTTTTCAGAATCAGCTGTGTATGATCTTACAAAGCTTCCCTCTGTTCTCTCCACCTTTTCCTCTAAAGGTGGTAGTCTGCTTTCGGACGGTCTTTCCTACCCTGCAGGGACGGGGCTGAGACCAGACGAGGACGACAGTGAGAGGGGGGACATGGCTTTCCTCAAAGATCTTCTTAGCCCAGGTCCAGGGGCCAGCGATGAGTTCAGCCAAGAGTGGCAGGATGCTTTTGGGATGTTTGACCCTCCTACTGTCCCTCCTGCAGGGATGGCGGCAACAAGCAGTGGGCAAGCAGCATGTCCGCCCAGCCCCGCAGGCTTCCTGCCCTCCCAGCTGCTGGATCACAGTCTGAGTGCCACAGGTTAGTCACACTGCACTCTGCTGGAGGACGGTGCTCTCTGTGATACAGCTGCTAAAGAATAGCAGAGTTCTTATTTTTTTCTCCAACCCTGCTGTGTCTTGTTAGGCTGGTCAACTCCACCTATGTTTCAAGCTCCGCCCCTGCAGGCGTCTCCGAATCAGAACCAATCAGCTCAGTTGGCTCAAAGTTCAGCCGCTGATGGTAAGATCCTTCTCAGTGTGTGTTCTTCATAAAAGTTGCCTTGTCTCAAGATCACTTCAGTTTCCCTAAACAATCATGTCACTTTGCTGTGAAACAGTAATAACGACAAACAAACCTAAACCCTTCTCCCCCCTAATGATCTGTGTGTGTGTGTGTGTGTGTGT